CATGTTAGAAAGCAATAAAGTAACTAGTAAAGATCATAATTATAGTAAAAATTTATCAGAATATATAATATTAACAATATTATATATTATTTTATTAATAAATCGTACAAATTTAACCAAATGTACCAGTAATAATAAATAAATTTTAAGTACCAATAAATGATATCTATATCAATTTATAAATTCTCATAGAATATCATACAGTGATTCTTACGACCCTAATATTATATTTATAAACATGTATTAAGATTTAAAAACTCTTTTATATTAAGTAAGTTTACAAACTTATTCAATACTATAATAAGAATTAATAGTTATTACTTTTGTAAATTGGTTTTGAAAAAAGAATTTAAATTATTTAAATCGGGGAGTGCATAGAAATGTTTAAATCATAAATATACTGATATGTGAGTATAACTAAATATTTTAAAAATAAGTTATACAGTGTAACTTTATAACTTTTGATTAAATATTGATTTGAATTATCAGTATAATCTCTTGATTTAAATAATCAAAATTTTAGCCCTGATGATGGTCACAGTGTCGACCGAAAACGTTCGGCAAATAACTTAATTTTATTTTTTAAGTCACTTTTTCACTGATACTACAAATTAATATTAAAAACTTAAACTCTAACTCAAAATTTATTTTGTATTAATTTTTAGAAAGATTAAATTAAATTACACTTTTTATAGGTTTGGATTGTATTTAATTTTTATGCTATTTAATATAATATTAATAATATTAATAATATTAATCTATTTAATTTAATATTCTATTGTATATAATATAATATTCAATTTAATTTTTCTATTCATTAGTTAGATCTTTTAAAAAATATTTTTGTGATATTCAGTAATCCTGTCCGAAGTTTATTGAATATAAATAATAGTCATATATTGTGTTTGAGTTGATGACAGAATTATAAAACAAATCCAATTATCACAAATTGCAGATAATATTTGAATACAATTAAAATGACAAAATAAAAAATATTATGTCCCGTGGAAATTTCTATTATGTTTAGTATCATTTATTGTTTTTAATAATTTTTTGCTAAAATGTTGAGATTTCTGTAAGAGAATGTAATACAATATACTTACATAAAAACAATGATTAAGATAAGTTTAGCATAAAATAAGTTATAACTGGGATTACATGTCTATCAAATACAAAATAAGAAAAAGAAATTATGATTGATTGGGAAATTTGATGGGATTGTAAATTTTAATGACATATTTATTTAAAAACTGACTTAACAGTAATTTCCAGTATTTTTTAAAAATAAATATTATATTTTACAAATGGTTTGAAATACTAGTAACATTTAAATCTAAATATGAATGAATTCAAAGTAATTTTTGCTTAATTAAAAAGCCATAAAAGATTTCAAAACAATTATGTAATCATTATTATATTAATATTATATTAGATCTAAAATAAATACAGATTATAGACATGTAAAAAAGA